TGTGTGTGTGTGTGTGTGTGGAGTGAGGGCTCCAGCTGGGGGTGCAGGCTGCCCCTGGACTACGTGGGGAGAGAGGACTCCGCCCGCCGGCCCCCCCCCCCGTAACAGCCATGCAGGGGAAGGACAAGTCCTGTCCCTCCCCAGCCCACCTGATTTCGGAGAGATCAGATTTCCTGGGGAAAGGCTTATTTCACAATCCGTGACATGTTTTTCACGGCCATGAAATTGGTAGGACCCTAACTATATACTACTGTAATTTGAGGGGAAAAGTAAATAAATTTAAATGAACTCTGGCTTTTGGAACAGGGGTGTGTGTATGTGTGTTTTCTGAAGCATAAAGATTTGTTTGTGCAAACTAGTCCCAACATTACTAAATTGTGAGCTTCTAGTAATGATAAAGCTGCAGTGCAGGTCTATAGGAGTGTATTGCTGCTTGCACTGTAAAACGCTAATTGTATCTGTAGGCACTACTTTGTATTGACTGCCATGGGCTCCTCTCACTTGGTCTTGATCTTGAGCAGGTCAGTAAACATTTGTGAAAGGTGGTAGTAAGAGTATGTTAAAAGCTAAGGAGAAGGAATGAAGTTGCTTGAAGAAATTATGAGCTTCTTCAACAGGAGGTTTTCTCCTTGAAAATATGATAAAGGCCTTTTCATATTCTGAATTTTATAATGCATTAATCTATCTGGAGAGATTTCATAGGAGTGTGAATTAGATCAGTAAGGATTTTTCTTCACTGAAAGACACAACACTTTTATCCTGTAGCATTTCTCCTTTGTAATTCAAACTTGCTTTTTGTGAGCTTGCACAGTGCAAAAATCATTTTTATTTTAAATGTTTCTATTTTTGTGATTCTGTCTCCTGTAGAGGGTGTCTTGTTCTCAGATGCAATCCTTGCAATTTATCGATTTTACTATTTTAATAACATTTAGATCAGCAGCTCAGTTTTCCATTTTTCTTTGCACAACTATTTCTGTGCAGGGCAGTGAAGTACACATAGTATTTTACAAGACATACTTCAGGTTGTGTAATGTTTTAGTTAGAGTAGGGTTACCATACATCCATTTTTTCCCGGACATGTCCGGCTTTTTGGTACTCAAATCCCTGCCCAGGGGGAATTGCCAAAAAGCCGAACATGTCCGGGAAAATACTCTCCCCTCCCCCCTTCTTCCCCCAGTCCCGTGCTTACCTTGGCTCTGGCAGACTGTGAGCTGCAGGTGGATTCCCCCTGGCGGCGGCGGCTGCTGCTGCTCCCCCCAGACAACTCAGCTTTGTGTAGCTGAAGAGCCGAGCTTCCCCAGCGCTACCGGCTTCACGGTTTGCCGGGCAGCCCCCAGATCTCCAGACCCTGTGCCCCCGGCCGGGCACTTCTCCAATGCAGCCGGAGCCCGGGAGGGGAAGCGCCCGGCCGGGGGCGCAGAGTCTGGAGGTCTGGGGGCTGCCAGGCAAACCGTGAAGTCGGTAGCGCTCAGGCAGCTTCGCGTGGCTGGGAGGGAGGAGGGGAAATGCGAGGCGCTCAGGGGAGGGGGCGGAGTTGGGGCGGGGACTTTGTGGAAGGGGTGGGGCCGGGCAGAGTTGGGGCAGGGCCGGAGAAGGGGTGGGTGCCGGGGCCCCGTGAAGTGTCCTCCTTTTTTAAGGTTTAAATATGGTAACCCTAAGTTAGAGCAGAGTCTGAGCGTTGAGCTCCAGGCTAGATAACCCTCTCCTCCCCAGTCATGTAAAAAATGTAACAAAAAGCCTTCTGGCTTTTTCAATAAAGTAAAATGTATATTCATTTTTAGCTTGCCTTCTAAGATTGTGTCTTAGGCAGAACGGATTGAATTAATTTGCAGTGCTTATTTCTATGCCCAGTTTCCATCTGTAATACTATGATACTTGAAGAGAAATCAACAAATGTTTTCACTTAATATATGAAATGTTTTGGAGAACTTAGAGGCATAAAAACTGCTGTAAGAAGAACCGAATAGACAGCTGAGTCATGGTTGCAAAGTGTGTCAGCTGGGCTTGTGCAAATTAGTAATATCTGCAATTTAGAGAACCACTCACTGAGTAATGTAGCCGTAGCGCTCTGAAAGGGATAGTTTGTTTCAAAACAAATTATCATAAAAGATTTGCGGTAATATGCTGGTTTTGTATGCTTGATTTGTTTCTGTTAAAAACTAAGGGTGCATCTAGTTGGAGCCTGCTTCTAGAGGCCTGTCTACTCTATTGTACGAAATTGACCGGTGGATGAAAAAGCTTCCCAAAAAGGGTCCCCATGAACTGGTAAAACTGTTAGGGTAGAAAGGACAAAATTTTCTCAATCAGCATTTCCATTACACTGTTGGAAACTCTTTCCATTGGGGTTTGTATAATGGCTAGCACGAAGGAGCTTTTATCCTGATTGAGGATGCTGGGTGCTACCTCAACATACATATTAAAGAGTAATAGAATGGCAACTTTCAACACTGATTCAGGGGGACTGTTGCTGACATCCCTTGTCAGATGCAGGTCAGTTACCTAGTGTAGGTGAGTCCTTGGAGGGGGGGAGTGTCTCATGTTGCACTGCAGTGACCCCTTTGGTTGGCTCAGATGTGTCATTGACAAGTTCCAAAGGGAGCTCTTTCATCTTTCCTTTGCTGGAGTGATAGTCTTGCAAATTGGTGGACTGAAATAAGGATGACGTGAAATTCTTTGGCTTGGAGAATACCTAGTTGGAAGGAGGAGGAAAGTAATGAAAAATTGAATTGCTTTTGTACTGCAGCACTTGCTGCTCTATTTGCAATAGTAATTTGTTTCCCTTACTTGATAGGATGTTTCGCCTTCGAGTTCTTGCTGCTGTGGCAGGCTTAGAGGCTGTTTCCCGATGTTATCATGGAATGGCACATCCCACCAGAAGCAGGCAAAGACTTATGATGGCAGCTTTCATAGGAACAACTGCAGCAACAGCGAGTGCTGGACTCCTATGGAAGAGGTAAGTGCTCTCAGGAGTCATTCTTGAACAGAACTTCAACCTTCTGCTGCTTTGGTCCTCCGGAGAAATTAATGTGGAGTGAATTTTACCTTGATCATAGGAGCAACAGTAGACTATGCAAGGCAGCATCACTGCCTTGAGTTCCATTATGTGGAGGGGAGCAGCTCTTGAGTGGACCCCATATCCATGCATGCATCTGGACCCCATATCCTACATGCAATAGTATTAGGCTCTGAGGGTGTTTGGTAAATGAGCAGGAGCTTGACTAGATTCTGTGGTTACATGGATCTACTGGACAGAACCCCTTCAAGGTTTCTAAGAGTTGTCCCCGTTAGTCTAGCTACAGAAGGGCTGTGGAGCTGTCATGCCTTGCCCACTGACTGGGAAGCAGATTATGTATTCTGGCACAAAGTCTAATTAATACAGTACAGACCCGTTTATGTGCGTATGTCAGGAGTCAAGCCGTCACGACCACGTGTTAACGGATCGCGGGTTAAGAGGGCCATGCTGAAATATCTTAAGATATCTATAGATACATGTATAATTATCTAGGATTACATATGTATTCACAGTGTCCCAAATACTGCAGGCCTATCTGTTAACTGCGCTTTGCAAGAATATAAATTCAAATATGTAATCTAATAAAAACATTATTATACTACACAGGAGTGAAAGTAACTCAGGACACTTACCGGTACAGGGCGGAGGTGGCTCTGGCCCCTGGAAGAGGCAGGGCCTTGGGCGGAAGGGGCGGGGCTAGGGGTCAGCATCCCCCAGCCAGCCCTTCCAGGCCGCCTGGTCCGCGCCACCCGGAATTTCCATGGCGATTTAAAGGACCCAGAGCCCTTTTAAATCGCTAGCCCCGGGGAAGCTGCTCCCTTTGCCCCCGCCGCCCGTCGCAGGGACCTTAAAGCGCTGCAGTGTTCTTTGCGTGGCAGCGCTTTAACATTGCTGCGTCCTCCCCCGGCTCCCCCTCCTGTTGGCGGCCCAGCATTGCCGCAGCAAAGTACCATCCTTAAAGCGCCCTTTAATGTTCCTGCCCTTTTTGCCTCCCCCGTCAGTGGCCCTGCTGCCCCTTTGTGCCCCCCTTCCCCCCCCCCCCCCGTCGGCAGTAAAGACGTACAACATGTTTCCACTCTACACTTCCTGTCAATTTTCTATGTCAGTGAGTTGGTGAGCAAATCTGTAGCACTACATAGCAAGTTCCTGTACCGCGTGTTAACAAGTCTCGCATGTTAAATAGGTAGCACTGGGAGGCATGGCGCTACCGCGCGTTAAGTGGATTCGCGTGTAAACGGGTCTGTACTGTATATGGTGCTTTCACCTCTTAGGAAGCCTAGTAGGATATAGTCTTGTTTCATAAAATATGAACTTTAGGCATAAATAAAAAGCCCACTTGCTGCTTAATGCTGAGAGATTTGTGTATCCTCTTGCACCATGTTAGATTTCATTTGAGGAGTATTAGCTGAAAATGTATAGTGCAAACTGCAGCTGTAGCATTAAATGCTCCTTTCTATTCATGATTCAGATGAGGCACTAAGTTACTTTGTGACCAGTGTAAGACACCATGAAATTACATTTTCACAATAGTGAACAGTGTGTAGAAATACTCAGGGTGGCACTAAGTTAGCCTCAATTGACTCTGGTTATGTTCCATGCTCTAAACAAAGCAAGCAGTAAATGTCCGTCAGCTTCCAGTTGAATTAAATGTGAAAGCTGTGGGAAGCCACTGTTATCATTGTATGCTCAGGGTCACTACAGTGCAAATACCATGATTAGTCCAAAGGTGATAGCATCATTTAGAGCATAGCTTAGTTTCATTTCTAATATTTAGGTATTATTTTATGATGATCTTATTTCCAACACAGTAGGTACACTTGCCTCTTATTTGGAATTATGGCAAGCTGTGAGAGGCAGTGATGTAATGTCTCATAATTGTTGTGTACTATTTTCTGTTCTTGCCAAGGGAGCCTACTTAACATAAACAGAAAAAGTTGTTCCATTATTTTTGCCATTCCTATAATTGGTAAGACTTAAGCTCCTTGCTAAAAGGTGTCCTCAAGAACCCGGGGGAAAGCACCATGATCCAGCACAGTCTCTTCTGATGATACCTGTTACAATTAATCTGCGTTTATATAGTGCCTTTCAATTTGAAGGACCCCAGAGCGCTTTACAGACGTTATAAAATCATGCAGCCAGCAGTGAGGTGGAATGCTGCAGCCATTCTGTGCCAATAACAAATAAGACTGTACTGTTATATATCTCCTTTTTGGGTGGGGAAGTGAATAATCTCTCCATTTAAAACTACAGTGAGAATATTTTAGGTGCACATAACATAATTACCTAAATTAGGTTTTGGCTAGGACACTGACGTTCACATCTCTGCTCTTTTGTGGAAAATGCCATAAAAATAACCAAGTTGTCAGATATTAAATTTTATATCTCATCGGAAGGATGGCACTTGCAGCAGCACACAGAGAGCTGACAAAATCGCAAACGTAAGTGGTGTGGTAGCATACGGGTAACAGTGCGGTCTGGGGCCCAGGATTCCCCGAGTTCTAATATTCCCAGATATGCTGCTAATTTCTTTGATTTTTCTTCCTCTATTTCTTAACTAGCACAGATAAGTTAATGTTTGTAAAGTCCTTTCACTGTAAAGTGTTAGGTAAGAGACAAATATTCTGTACAGGAGTTCATTGATGCCCTGTATAATTAGATATGTACTCATGGCATTCATATAGGGTAGGCTTGTAACTCAATGAGGGGAGAAAAATTGTAGTAGTTAACCTTTGAGGATAGGACAGGAAGCAAGAGGCTTAACTTGCAGCAAGGGAGGTTTAGGTTGGACATTAGGAAAAACTTCCTAACTGTCAGGGTGGTTAAGCACTGGAATAAATTTCCTAGGGAGGTTGTGGAATCTCCATCATTGGAGGTTAAGAACAGGTTAGAAAATCACCTGTCAGGGATGGTCTAGATAATACTTATTCCTGCCTTGAGTGTAAGGGGACTGGACTAGGAGACTTCTCGAGGTCCCTTCCAGTCCTACGATTCTGTGATTCTATGTAATTATGTACTTGGCTGTTTAACCCAAGAAATCACATTACCATCACAATGACAAGTTGTTTTGGTGTAGAAAATAGTTTATACTGATGCTACAAAATATTAAATAGATTGTTTCAAATAAAAACATTTTAACCTTGTGTTTAGAAAGAAATAAATGAAACAAAAGGAAAGAAACCCTACAATGTAATAAAAACGTTTTTTCAGTTGTTGGTGACAAATCGCTATGGTGCTAATCTTATTGATCATTTTCACTTGAACCACTTCACAGTTAACGGTCTTGCTGGTGGCTTGGGAAGTTCAAGAAGTGAGTTCAGTTGAATATATTTGAATACAAATAGATTTAATGACACGCTGTGTTGTGCATACCACTGAATATCATACAATAAGTATAATTGAACTACTCATAAATTATTATATAAATAAGATGTTTAGCTGAAGGAACCAACAGCATTACAGATGGCGGTGGTGTAGCAGCAGTATGGTCGACAGCTTGAGAAAGATGTGGACACACAGAGTGTCCAGAGAACAACTCAAAGGATAAAAAGTATAGATAACATGACCTATGAGCAAACTTAAAAAAACAAAAAACCACCAAGTAGGCATGTTTAATCTTGAGAAAAGGAGACCTGGGGGGTGGGGTGAGGGGAGTGGGGAAGAAACTGATCTTCAAATATGTGAAGGTCTTTTAAAAAGAGTGATAAATTGTTCCTCACATCCACTGATGGTGGGAGAAGAAGTAATTGGCTTAATGTACAGCAAGGGAGATTTAGATTAGTTATTAGGAAAAACTTTGACTATATGGATAGTTAAGAACTGGAATAGGTAGCCAAGAGATGTTGTGGAATCCTCATCATTGGAGATTTTCAAGAACAGGTTAGACAAGTGGTGGGCAACCTGCGGCCCCCACACGACCCATCAGGGTAATCCACTGGCGGGCCGTGAGACAGTTTGTTTATATTGACCGTCTGCAGGCACGGCCGCCCACAGCTCCCAGTGCCGTGGTTTGCTGTTTTCAGCCAATGGAAGCTGCAGGAAGCGGCACGGGTTGCCATTGGCTGGAAACTGTGAATCGTGGCCACTGGGAGCTGTGGGTGGCTGTGCCTGCTGATGGTCAATGTAAACAAACTGTCTCACGGCCCGCCAGTGGATTACCCTGATGGGCCGCATGCGGACCACGGGCCACAGGTTGCCAACCACTGGGTTAGACAAACACCTGTCAGAGATGGTCCTGTCTCTGGACAGTGGGATCGATGAGATTATCTTTTGAGATTACCTTCCAGCCTTAAATTTCTATAATTCTATATATAATGCATGCAGTGAGACTATTTTACAGTGGAAATTTTTCCCATAGAAGAATTTCACTCAAAGCAACGTTTCATGGTAGCAATTGCAGTTTGTACATTACAGTGCATTGAAACAATTTAGGACTTGCATTCATTTATATCCAAAATTACTTTTTCACAAATGTTATACATATAAATACATAAGCAATTAATGAAGCAAATCAAGATTATGTAAGATTAAAGGGAATACCCTCCAAGCTGGGAACAGTAGTTGTTTTTAAAGTGCTTCATTGCATAAACTGTTCTGTTAAGACAGTTAGCCTTTTGTAGAGATGATCTAATACAATGCTTGTTTTCCTTCAATTAGTTAAGCAAATATACTTTCATTGTTGTATGAAACCTTGCTGTGCTGCAAAGCTGAAGTCTCCTGGGGGGTTCCGGATCTTTCTTTTATTATACCATCAAAGGCAGCGTGCTTCTTTGTTATGTGACACTAATAAAGAGAGTGTGGTTTCTAATATTCTGATTAACCTTGAATGGTCTATGGTTGAGGCAGTGGCACTTCATCGTGAACTAAATGAGATTCCCCATTGTGATCCTTGTCAGCAAAATGTCAGCTGTAATGCCTTTCTTAAAAAAAGATGACTTCTTTTT